GCAGCATACTTGGTCCGCCACTTCTGTTCATTTAACAATTTACCCAGATTTACCACAATTGTGGCAGATAATCAATTTTTCCCACTGTCCTCCTCTAATCGTTTCTGTCATTCTTATTTTTCTAGACGTGTCTGACTTTAGAATAAATTACCTTATATTGATTTAGATAAATCTTTTCCATTTATTAAGAGTAACCTTATTTATTTTTTTGGAATGACTTTTTTAGTTAATTTTAAAATAATATTTATGTTCCTTTCATTTTTTGTGTCCTTGTTCATCTTGTCATTTTTTCTGTTAGTGCTCCTTCCTCTTTTACTTAGCATTTTTTTAGTTTTATTTTATTTTATTCATTTTTTGATCTGGTCTGGATGTCAGCAATTTTTGTTGGCAATCCATCAAATTGGCTTTGGCTTCCATAATAATAATAACATTTTATTGATTTTGTATTTTATGATAAATTATGTTATGAACTTTAAAATTATCCAACAGGTATCTAGTTGCTATGGATACTAAGGCTGAAGTAGAAGACTACCTGGAGAGTCTTTTAGGTAAAAAGTCTCATCAGGATTTCATACGAGAGTTTCTGCTCTGCTGGACAGCCGTAGTGGAGGAGAGACGTCACCATGGCAACATGGAAATGATAGTAGCACACTCTCGACAGGAGAAAGAAGAACTGGTTCTTTTTGAACCAAAGAAGACGACAAAGAAATCTAAAAAGGTTTTTAAACATACCGTATAGGGGTTTTACTTTGTTGGTATAAGTTTTGGAAATGCTCAGCCACTTTTCCTATTGTGCTACACATCTTTTGTGGAATTTAATTTCTTTCACAAATTAGATGAAAATTTGAAATTTATGTCCAGTGAAATATAGCCCCTATATATCCTACACCACTGTAGTAGGCAACAATTTCACCAATGTGATATATGAAATATATGACATGGATTTTGATGTGATTATTATAATAATAATTTTAGGATGTTAAAGAAGCTCCTAAAGCCACAGCCCCTCCCCCTGGATTTGGTATACGCCCACCACAAAATCCCTCTACTCATAAAAGAAGTGAAACGACTAAAAAGGAGGGAGGGGCTTCAAAGACTAAGTTTGTTCCGTTGCTAAGTGCCGAGGGTGAGTCCCAGTTGAGTATAAAGTTCCCCGGGAGGTTCTTATGTCAGTGTCTTGGACAGAACCACATGCTGGTTAATAATTGCTTGGAATGTGGAAGAATAGTCTGTTCATACTTCTTTATTGGGTTGTGTTGAAGTTAGTGATTGTTTGAATAGAGATGAAAGGTTTGTATTATACTGTTGCCCTGTATTTTAGTATTGATTTAAATTTTTCTCTTCTCTAATGAGTATTGTACTTCTAAAGTTTGCTCTTATATTCCATTTATCATGTAAAGTTATTATCCAAATTATACCTCTCCCAAAAGAAATAAGCATAGAAACACAATAATAAAATTTATTTTATATCATTTAGCTAAAAGCGCATGCCCATCGATACTGCCACTTAATTGCACATAATTGCATGATCACACAGTCAGTACAAATGACATCATCAGTTTCCAATATTGATTTCATCCCCAGTTACATATCGTAGTCTATAATAAAATTTCAATGTTTCCATTTATTTTAATCACAGGTTAATACTATGCATCGTATGTTCCTCATAGAGTCGTGTTTCTCATTAACATCAAAGGGAATTATTCATGAATGGTTTATAACACCTACACCTATCGTATCACACCACATAATCAGTGGTGGTACCACCTCACTGTAGATCTTCTGCATGGGTGGTACCATTATCAGTTAGTGGTGCCACTACCATATTATATATATATATATAATATACACCAGTATATAGAGGTCATTCAGGCCAAGCTGTGCCTAGAGATGGCAACCATGTCAAGATTTTCAAAAGTTGAATCAGTTGTAAGGGCAGCTTTGGCAAGAGATGATCACAAAGAGTTGCGGCTACTAGTGACAGGAAAGACAGGAGAAGGGAAGTCCACACTAGTCAATGGACTACTGGGGAAAGAGGTTGCTAAAGAGGGAGCTGGTACTGAGAGATGCACAACACAAGTTGCAGAGTACAAAGCAGAGCTCCACGGTGTACCTGTCACTGTGTTTGATTCACCTGGCCTGCAAGACACCACAGAAAATGAAGATAAGTACATAGCAGATATGAAGAAGAAATGTCAAAACCTCAGTTTAGTATTGTATTGTACTAAAATGACCAACAACCGTTTAAAAGAAGAAGACAAACGTGCCATTCTAAAGCTAACAGTAGAATTTGGGCAAAACTTCTGGAAGTATGCTGTTCTTGTTCTCACATTTGCTAACACTGAAAATGTCACAAGGCGCGATGAAAGAGATGAAGATACAGGGCCCGAGCCTGATTTTGATGATACAGAGAGCTGGAATGTTCTTAAAAAGGAAAGATTTGAAGGTCGTGTAAAGATATGGAAAGAGAGCTTTCACAAGTTTTTCATAGATGAGGTCGGATTAACAAGAGATATAGTGGAAAGGATCCTCGTGGTGCCAGTTGGAGATAGCAGACCGTCACTTGATAACCGGGAGCCTTATCGTCTTCCTGATCGTGATGATTGGTTTAGTGAATTTTGGAAGGCTTGCTCCTTACGAGTTAGGGAAATTAATCTCTTCTTTAAAATAAGTAAACACCGATTTATCAGCTCTCAAGCGACACAAGATGATGCTCTAACCGATCTGGTTAGTGAAATGATTGCAATGGCAGCAGAAAATGAGGAATTTGTTAAAATGATTGAAGTCAGTACTTTTGTTTTGTTTTTATTAATTGACTTTTTTGAGTATAGGAATCTCCTGTACAAGACAGCACACTGCAACTTTCAGATGCACCTAAAGTAGATGAGACATATTCAGAAAAACTTCAAGAAAATATAAAAAAGATGGATAGTGAGAAATGGGTGAAAGAGCAAAAGGAAATAATTAAAAGGGAGAAACGAAAAAATGAGGAGGAAGCAGAAGCAATTAGAAAAGAAAGAGCAAGAATACAACAGCTTGAGACAGTAAGTGTATAGTACTTTTTACATCATTTAATTTCAAATACATCAAGGATATTACTAATAGAAAAATTGCTCTTGATGAGGAGTATAAAA